AATCATGGGCAGAAGGTGCAGAGCAAGAGGTGCCACCCTGATGGGAGATGAATATCAGCATAGTCGCGACCACAACTGCCTTGGAGCTGCCATGTTAATACTCAGCATTAAAAGCTGCTGAGAGATGTCATGTCTCTTTGATTGACCCTTTAATCCCACTCTCATTGGGAAACAGCCACCTCAGGGCTCACACTGCCTGCCTCTCCTTTGTGGTTTTCACTAGTTCTCCAGTACTGAGGAGTTCTCCCTTGACCTTGGGGAAGTTTTCCTCATCCTGACAGAATGTCTTTGGGAGATAGCACTTGTTGACCTCTGCTTTGAGATCCTGGTGTGTGTCTGAAAAGAAACCCTCCTCATCCTCACATGTGTGGACCTTGTCTTTCCATGGACCCATAGCCCTTCTCCTTCAGACTGGTGATGTCAATGAAGATACAGAAGTCATCTCCTTGGGAACAGAGCAGATCCCAGGTGTCCCGCTTGTTCTCTGAATTCCAGTGGTTCTTCAGAAACCTCCTCAAAGGTCTTCTAGGTGCTCTGCCAGGTTGCCCCCCCAGCTTTCCTCCAGATCCTGCTGCAGAGCACTCCAAAGGAAGCAGGGAGCTCACCTATGTGGAGAAGACAAAAGTCCTTGGAGTCTGGTTTGCTGAACCCATGGCAGAGATCATTCAGGCATTTCCATCTGTGGCTGGGAGCCAGTCCAAGCAGTAGTGCCTGGAAATCAAGAGAGGAGAAAGGCTGGCTGAGCATATACATGATCCTGAGCTCCCTGGGGAAATGGAGATTGGATGCTGATGATGGCAGGAAAGAAGCACCCATTGTTGTCTGGTTTCCTTGGAATGATGGGCATGTTCCCAAGCCTTGGGAACCTGAACTGTGGCCCCAGCAGACCTAGAGATGTTTCTTATTCTGGTAGCCACATCCAGGATCCTCAAGAGCTGGTAGCTGCTCTAGCATCTTTGTCTCCTCCATGCTTTGGCCGCAGGCAGGGTCCCTAATCTGAGAGCATGTGTTGAGTTGTCACCAAGCCCCTGCCTTCTCTGGCCTCACACCTGCTGGCCCCTGGTGCCAGGAGATCATATCAGTCATCTTGATGACATTTGGAGCTCCCACATCACTGAGGAGAGGAAATTTGGCACCAGGGCTTGGGAGAGGAGTTTCAATGGGATGGAGAGGGGACAGAGCTGCCTTGAGACGTGGAGAAACCCCCTCTATCTGTCCAAGGGACCAGGTGAGGGGTCTTGTGCTGGACAAGTGGGAAGGGAGTGAGAAGCAGCCCTCTCACCTCTTCTTCCTCTGGTGGCACCCAGGGCTGGTGTGGCCAGGGCAGTGGGGGTCAGGGTGATGTCCACAAAAAGGTGAGTGTGCAGCCAGAAGCTCAGTGAGGGGGTCTGGAGGAGCCTGGAGAGGCCACAGGGGCAGCTGCTGTCCCTGTGCACCAGGCCCCCCTCACAGAGCTGATGAATCTTGGCTGAGGGGACTCTGTAAACAGTGGCACTAGTGTGTCTTTGCTCAGAACTGCACAGAGGTCTTCAGCTGGAGCTGGCTGGGACTGCACACTGACATTTCTGGGAGATGTGCACGGGGCATGGCCTGGTGCTCATATCTATGGAGATTTCTAGCCAGGCGATGCAGGATTATTTACAGCAGCAGGACAGATGCTGACAGATGCTGCAACTGGATGGGAGGGACCTGGGTGCCTGGTGAGGAAATGATACTGGGGCGATAAACACAAACTGATGCTCAGGGGAAAAACATTATTTATACCTGAGGTGTACTAATACTCTTATATAGTTACATAGTTGCCACATTAGCTCTTGGAAAGGATTTTGGAGTCACAGCAGAGCACTTGATTAAAACAGGAGCCTGGGGCACTGCAGAGAGCAGAAGCACAGTGCTAATAATAGCTCTGCCAGCACTGCACTGCTCAGAAGTGGTGCAGGCTCTGGATCCTGCTCCGAGTCCAGTGTGAAGTGTGGGCTGGAGTGTCCCTGCCTTCCTGCCCTGTTCCTGCCTGCTCGTGGCAGATAGATGCATGTTGGCCATGTTTGGGGAGTGGACACTGGGCTGAGCCAGCTGGGCTGTGTGGTCTGATATCCCTGACCTGCACTGAAGCTTGATGTTGCCATATTTTATATATTTCGCTGCCGTGCAGGGGAGGTGCTCATGGTCAGTAGCACTAGACTGTTTTCCATGTTTCTCCTGTTGGATCATTTTCCCAGTTTCTCCTGTTTGGGGGCAGGCTGGTGTCCCTGGTTGTACGCTTGGGCAGTGCTCTCTGTGGATGATGCAGTTCTGCAGACAGCCTGGTGTAGGGCTGGTTCCTCATTCACACTAGAATTTTTAGGGATGGGACTAGTATGTTCCTCAATTCCTTCATATTTTGGTAGCCCACTCATTCTTGCCCGCTCTGAGCAGATTCTGAAGGTGTTCCTGTTCAGCTATGTGTCACAGAGTGTTGTTTTGTTCAGGAAACAGATGATGAACTGGTTTGCTGAACATGGACACCTTGTTCAGGTCAGGCTGTCGCCCTTCAGGTCCTAGCAAGGTTTTACAGGTGATCCTGGGTTCAGCTACATTATATTGTATGTGGGCTTATTTCCTTCTCCTAACAGAGCTTATGGCTTTGGCCATGAATCCTGCAGGATCCAGCTCTGGATGCCACTAGCAGTGACATGGCCCTGTTGTGCCTGCCACCTGAGTTGGTCTGACAGGGGAGGCTGGTGCCTTTCTTCAACCAGCTGAGTCTTAGGTGGCTCTAAAGCATCTCCATGTGCTTGCTGGGACTGAGGCTGGAAGCAGCCAGATGGCTTCTCCTCTGATGACATCAGCTGAAATCCTACCAAGAACCATTTTGGTTTTGCCTGGTGAGCTCTAGGAGTGGAGAAGGGACACCTCTGATACCAAACACTTCCCTCTGACCCGCTTTGGGAGGTGCAGATGTCTCCCTGCCTGGAGGGATCATCAGTGGACAAATCAGGAAATGTGAAGTGGGCTTGAGGGGATGCAGATTGCCATCTTTAGGGTCCAAACAAAACAAAGGCATCTCAGCTGAATGGCTGACATTCCAACATTCAGAAACTCTGACATCCCCCCCAAATCCTTGTTAGAGTCAGCCAGACCATCTAGAAATCAGTCCCACATCAGAATGACTGGGATGGTTGGAGAAGTTGGAGTCGTTCTCTGGTGAGGCATATTTGGGAGCCACCCTTCTGCCAGCCAACCCATCACCTGTCCAAGGATCCCTGCTGTGGTCTCCTGTATGTGCAGCATCCCAAGGGAATGCTGCAATGGTGCCAAGGCACTGCTTGCTTGGGCCATGATCCTGTCTTGCCACCACAGTGTCCACTTCAGCTACAGGAAATCAACTGCAAGGAGCTGATCTGGGTTAGCGGGGACTTGGTTTGCTCCCAAGGCACCAGTGGCAGTATTTTATTATATGCACTGAATTGTCCTGTAACACTGATACACCAGTGACTCAAGGCTTGGTTTGCCTGGCACAAAGCCATTTCCCCTTTCTTTCTGCTGGTTCTGGCAAAGGGCCCTACAGCAGTTACTGCATGTGACGTCTCTGCTCTATTTTCCCCCACTGCTCCCAAATCTTCCTCTGCATTTATTCACCTTCTTACATGGCATCTTTTTTTTTGCATTTGCTTTTGCATAAACATTGTCATGCTACTTTCCTGGGATGCTCTTGGGAGAAGAACTCTTCCCTCTGCATTTATTAATCCCTCTTTACAGAGTATCAAATAGCACAGGCCTGCCTTGCACCATGGACAAGACACCGGGCTTCTGTTCCTCTATAGATTGGATGGCTTATTCAACGTGATCCAGGCTCTGAAGCTGCTTCTGCAACACAGTTGGGGCTTGGCAGAAGTGATGCTATGCATGGAAGGGGAGTTTGAAGGCGTGTTTTGCAGGGATATTGCTAAAAACAGAGGGATACATCCTGATATTTTGAGTTGATGTTTAAGCTAAGGAGAGAAAGTGCTTGGTATCACTCTCCTGGCACTTCTCTAATTTCTTCTCATTGTAAAGATCTCGAGGCATTTTCTAAGCTACAGAAAAACCTACTTTGCCTGTCTCAAAATATAATTTGGAAATTGTTTTTAACTTCTTGCCCATGTCAGAGGGCTTTTTGAAAAACATATGACAAAACCATAGTAAATCAGTTCAATTCCGGTAGGAATGAGTAAAATGAATTAAATATACTATTTTATTGCCAGTGCGTTTGATGACTCTTTGCTGTTTTCAGGCATGGAATGAGATTGGAAAGGTTTATCTAAATTCTTCATCTGTACCAAATCTGAGAGCACCACAAGTCAAAGCTAATACAAGAAACACAACTTGACCTTAAAAATTAAAAAAAATTATCTCCATAGTATAAAAAGAGGAGGTTGATGCAAAATGGTCTGGTATAAAAAACTCTTTCTCTAAATAATTTATTGTTCCTTAGCCAATGGAATTTCTGCAGGAATGAGCATAACTGGCATTGGGGAACTTGCAGGACTGTGCAATAGAGCAGACTTCCTTTTTTCAGTCTCCTAATAATAACACAAAAAACCCCAGCTGAAATGTATTTATGGTTCAGTCATTGTATTTGGGCTGTGACCTGTGTGCTTAGAGCTTTAATTCCCAAAGGCAGGGCTCTGTGAAGTTATTAAAGTCTGGCCATAAATGATATGAAGGGTTTTGTAATTAACTTTGATGACTGAATTGATAAACTTCATAACTGAATTTAGCGGTGTCTCTCAGCACGGTGACCCCAGCAGTTGTCCCCATGTCCCTCGGGTCCCCGGAGTGCCCATTATGTGTGCCTGCTTCCCCTCCTTGCCGCACGCACCTTCCGGCCGTACCAGCTCTCACGGAGCTTTTTTACTCAGCGCAGGTGGGGATCGACGCGGAAGCCGGGACACGGAGCTGGCCCTGTACCATGCCAGGATGTGCCCGCGCCCTCGCTGACCTGCCCGGCCCGGCCCCCGCTGCCTGTCCCGCCCGGCACCATGGGAGGATGCTTCTCCAAGCCCAAACCAGGTGACTGCTCTCCCATGCCGGGCCCCCATCCCACTGTCCCCGTGGGAGAAATAGGTCAGCGGTGGACGCTGGCCAGGGGAATGTTAATGCTCGGCTCCTGCGGGGAGGATTACTGGGCTTTTAATCCCCCCAAATTCCTCAGTGCTCTCACTCCCAGGCAGGGAGCTGTGAGGGGTTGCAGCAGTGCTGGGGGTAGTTGGGTGGGAGGGAAGCTCACCCTGTGCCTCAAGGGAGGCATCTCTGCCTGGTCACATCTCCGTGTTCTTCACCACCCACCTGCTTCCACCTTTCTGCTGGATCTGGAGCAGAGTTGCCCCCCTTGTGCTCCAATGTAGGTTTAGGTGACAGCTCTTCCAGCACAGACACACAGGGCTCTGGAACCTTCCTTCTGCCACAGCTTTGTCACTCACTGGCCAGCCCTTACCTGGGAAGGAGCAGGCCAGGTCCTGGAGCTGCTCTGCTGTTGAGATTTTATTTTCTTGGTGAAGCTTGTGCAAGCTTGCTTTTGGTGGGGAAAGTAGCTGTTGACACCTGGACATCAAGGATTCTCCCCTTGCCTGGCACATTGTTTCCATGGCTGGGCTGGGTGGGCTCTCTGTTCTGTACAGTTTGGGGAAGGTTGGGTGTATGTGCGAGGGGCAGGGGTGGTGCCACCTGCCAAGGCAAACTGGCTGGTTGAGGGGGGCCTTGTGTGGAAATGTCAATGCTCAGCCTTGTCCTGAGAAGGCTGGGCATGAGCAGGCACTGCATGATCACCCATACTCATCACCCCTGGCAGCACCTGCATGGCCCTGGCACAGGACCCGGGGAGTGATGGCTGGGCCTGTCAGTGTTCCTGAAGCTGCCATGGAGGAGTGCTCCCAGCTCCCATTCTGCAGCTTGTTTTGGCCACCTCAGAGGGAGCTTAGGGTGACCTTGTCCTTGTAACTCACTTGTGCCCCAGGGCAAGGGCAATCAGAGAATGGTGATGATCTATCAGACTAGTCAGCATCCCTGTGTAGCCTTTGTGGGTAGAAGTATGTCTTTTGGGGACCTCTTCTTGGCAATTTGTCTTCACTGCCTGAGTCAGGAGGGATTTCAGGCTGAAGGACTAAACGGGTCAGAAGGGTGATAGAAGTTGTGACTCACTGAGCATCCATAGAGTGAGGTCCCTGCCTTTATGCAAGGCACAATGAGAAAATAAAGGTCGTTTTCTGCCCTTGACCTGTACTATGTTTATGTTATGGGTCACCACCAAGGTAATACGGCACTGGACACTCTGACCTATAAGTTTTCTCAGTGAAAGCCTTATTTATATGTTTTCTTAAAATGTTTGAGGAAGAAAAACACATCCAAGAGTAAATGCCTTTGTTGACTAAACTTGTGACAAACTCTGCTATGAGCTCCACTTAATTTTGTATCGTATCAGCAAAACTGTGTAATCTTGGACCAGTGTTGGAACACCAATGCTCTGTGGGCCTCTTTCCTGAGCTGCAGATTTTTATGGAGAGCTGTATTTGCATAGCAGGGATAAATACCTTAAAATGCCACCCTGCAACACACCTCTATCCCTCAGCTCTGGTTTGGATTAGCATCTTCAAAGGCTTCACACAAGCCTTCCACAACCCCTGGGTAGCTCAGCACTGGCTGCGGGGCTTCATCCCAGGCTTATAAAACCTGCAAATGCAAGGAGGTAAACAGGCATTTGAGGATACTGATTGTTCTAGCAAAGAGTTTCACTGATGTTTCATGTGGGAATTGTACAGTATTAGAGCTGTACTGCTATTCATGTGGAAATTGTACAGTATTAGTACTGGACTTTACTATTTGTAGGAATTCACCTATTCCTTGTCCGAATAAGAAGCAGGGACAGAATAGAGCTATTTGCTCCATCAGTGCTGTTTCCATATGAAGGGAACATTTTGGATGCAGCCTGAAGTAAACAGAACTGATTCAGGTACTTTTCCAAGGTGTACATGCGGTCCTTATCTGCTCCATCTCCTTCATTCCGAGAGAGACCCTCAGTTGCCCTGAGCACCCTCAAGATAACCTTGGCACTGTGCACATATCACCTTTTGATGGGCAGATGAGTGATACAAGATCTCTGGGGAGTGGAGTCCTGGATCCCTAAATAACTATGCTGACTTTACTGCTGGCCAGACTGAGATCTGGCTGCTGCTGCAGCACCCATCCCTGTCTGGATATTTCAATGTTTAATTAAGAGCTTATGTTCAAACAGTGAAGCAATTTGCTGTTATCTCCAGTGCTGCAGTCCTGTGATGCCGGATCCTCTTGAAGGCCTAGTTCTCAATTTCTGCATCATTTTCTCCTTGCATTTGTCTCAGGTGTGTGATGCACTGGGGATGAGCTGCCCAGCTGGCAGCCTGCGTGGTACCATAGCATCTGCTTCCGCAGCAAAGCCACGCCAGGATAATGGGCGACAGGAACCATCATGTGCCAGCTCTGTGCGAGCTGTTGCAGCTCTCTCTCTGTGCTAGGTATAGGAGAGTGGCTTCAAAACCTATAAATTGTGATTCTTCTTCTTCTGCTGGGTTCAATGTTTGACAGCAGAGCAGTTGCTTCCCAGCGCATGGGGTATCTGAGGGTGGGCTTTGCCCTTGCTTGGACGATGCATTTAGCAGGAAATGTGCTCCCTTCCCACCCACCACTGCTGGTGGGGTGCTGTTGGCTGTGTGACCTGAGCTTGGCTCTGAGCTTGTCCCCAGCCTTGGCTGGTAAGCCCTACCTCCTGGTTTTGGACTGTTACATTTGCTGACAGAGCTTCCGGAGAGGGAGAGCAGAGCCAGGCACATTTGACATGGTGGTTTTGTCATTGTCTCTGTCATTTTTAATAGAATGATAGAATCATGGAGTGGCTTGGGCTGGAAGGGCTCGTAAAGACCAAGTAGTTTCAACCCCCTGCTGTGGGCAGGGCTACCTTCTACTAGACCAGGTTGCGCCAAGCCCTGTCCATCCTGGCCTTGGAAGGAGGGGAGAAGTGGTCCATAAAAATGGTTTGGAGTCTCTTCGAGACCATCTGAAGTCACTGTCATTGGGACTTGTAGTTGAGGGAGGGTGGGTGAGCCCAGGGAATGCCTGGAGAGTGCAGCACTGGCAGGGCACAGTAAGCCCCAAACATGTCCCATGGTGGTGGATTTATTCTGTGCTGGCTTTGGGAAAATAAACCTTGCTGGGGTAAACTGAGATGTCTGGCTGTGCCTGCTGGCCCCTCTGGCATCATCCCTTGATGCATTTCTGGTTTCCACTGCTCCCAAAGCTGTTGGCACCATACAGCCAGCACCAGACTGTTCCCTGCCCTCAGTGCTCCTCTGCCCTGTGCCCTGACATGGCACACCCTGAAGCATTGCAAGGTTTTGGGCCTGGGGAAGGCAGACACACTGCTCTCCCCTTGCCAGCTCAGCTCCTCCATCCCCTATAGCCAGGCATCTTCATCTTATCCAGACTCCCCTTGGCTCAAGTCAGCTCTTGGCTCATGTCAGTTCTTGCTTCCCATATTAACTCAGTATTTTCCTGGTTTCTAGTATTTTAAGTATCGGGTAACTGGAGGTACAACCTGTCAATGGCCCAATATCCATAATTTAAATTTAGCATGAAGGGCTCTGAGCCATACTGGGAACTCAGTCTTGTGATAGAGAAGTACTGGGGCATCATTGCCCTAATTTTTAAAAAAAGAATGCCTGTGACTCTGCACTGCAGCCCAGCCACCTGCCATGCCCTGCTTTGGGATCGATGTCAACAGTTCCAGCCTCATGTCTAAAGTACCTCTTCAAGAGCAAGCAGAGGCTTTGACTTGTCCCACAAGGCTGTGAATAGTGATGGAGATGGAATAAATTTACAGATGTAATGAGATATTCGGGACTCACTGCTTGTGTGAATGACATCAAAGAAAACACAAGAACATTGTAGCCACAAGAGAAAAACAACACCTGAACCAACTGTGATAAATGGTGTTGGGACATGGTTCTTGATTGTATGTGAAGGATCCCAGCAGTGCTTGACCTAAAGGCTGAAAACCTGGGAGAAAAAGAATTGCGTCAAAATTTATAGTCTTGTCAAGAGTCTGTATTTTAAATGATTCTGTGAGTTTGAGGAACTGACTTAGGATTTTTGGGTAGTGAGAGCTTGCAGTGCTGAGGTATATGTGAATATGTGGTATGAGCACTTGCTAATGCTCAGCTGGTTCCTCTGCTTTTTTCTATATTCTTGTAAAATATTTCCAGCCCTGGCCTTCTGGTCCTTCATCTATGTAAGCATGTATCTACAGACATATCTTAAAACTGTGCTGAACTTACACAAACACATACACACATATGTATGGGTATAAGGGATGTTGGTGGCACAGGGCAAGCGGGCACATCTCTGTATTTTTCTCTCATCTGTATCTATACCTATATATATATAAATCTATATTTTTATCTGTATCATCTATATCTATACCTTTATGCCCATACCTATGTAGGAATATCCATATTTATATCCATATCTCTACCTATATCCTTGAGGAGTTGTCTACTGTCTAGATTTGTAGTCACATGCCTAAAACTTTCCAAATAGTTTGCTTTAAGGTCCAAACTCTCTTCTAGCAGCTATAGAAAATGACTGTCAAAGAGCTGGAACACACTGACCACAGCCCCATTGTACCAATCGGATTTCAGAATTAAACTTGGCTTTATAAATATTTCATTTAAAGGTAATTTTCCCTGATGGCAGCTGAACCAGTTTGCTGGATCAGCTCAGGTGCTGCTTAGTCCTGGATTCCTGGAGGGATCATTCCTCGGGAATGCAGGTTTCAGGTCAGAGGGACACCCCATGAGGGGCTGAGAGGCATGAGAAGGGGGAGGACATGGAGGTAAAAAGGGCTGCTGAGAGGCAAGTGGGATATGTCCCCCACAGAGGCAAGCGGTGAAGTGTGAGGCCCGAAACAGGAGAGGGAAGATTTTATAACTCTCTTTTCCTCTGGACATTTGTCCAGCAGTGTTGGTAGGTGCCAACTGGGGATGGCTGAGTGCCAGAGACCTGCTGCTTCCTGCATATGTTTTTCTAACTGAGGAAGAAGGGAGAAGCTCAGAGCTACATTTCCATCTTCATCCCTGCAGGTTCATTTGCCTGTGAATTCGTGGGCACTTCATGTGCTCACCTGACCCAAACTGCTCTGGAAAACAAAGTCCTGGGGCATCAGCCAAGAGGAGATGGGAATTGTTCCTTGCAGGGTGAATTCACTGATATCAATGTCCCCCTCACCATTAGGGCTCAGAGCCATCAGCTTTGTCCAACCTTTGTCTCATCCTGCGACATGGTCTGGCTCACAGTCTGGCTGAAGGGATGCACAGCCACATTTTCTGCAGATTGACTGTGAAATCATATGACATTAGCCTCCTGTTTCTTGGGCCAAAAGTATTTCACTGAGACTGGCATAAATGGGTATTCATTATTCTTCCAAACTCTGTCCTGGAAAATCCATATCTGCTTTTCCCAATGCCCTAGGAAAGCAGTGCTTATGGTGCTTAAGCCTCTTCATTGGGTGCCTGCAGAAGCTGGGCTGCTTCTCTAGAGCTCTAGGAACAGATTTGCTCATAGCAATGTGGGGTTGCATGGTGCTGGCCCTATTCATTTGCATTAACTCCTGCAGCTGCAAGAGCACAGCAGAAGGTGATGTTTTCTGTTGGTTCAGTGTTCATACACAGAAAATCACTTTCCTAGATCTGTCTGTCACTACCCCTGGTGAATCCTGCCCGGGTGACCACAGGGATTTGGCACTTTGGCAAAAAGCCATTCATCTCTTGCCTTGCTGAGCATGCACAAACAGCAGAAATGTGCAGGACTCCTGAGATAGCTACCTGCCTCCAGGGTCTGCATGGCCATGGTCACTTGCTTTTCTCCCTTTCAAAATTCTCCTCCCTGACTTCTTCCATTGTTCTCTCAATATTCTTGCAATAAAAGGTTTGGGACAACAGATGAGGCTGGGAAGACCCAGCATCCCTGTCATTCACAAACCTTGCTGAAGGGTTTGTTTTTACCCTTCTTTTGCTGTTCCTTACCTTTTTTAGTTTGTGAAAGCTTAATGATTTCCCATGCACTTGAGACACTTCATCAGTCTCTGGCACTTTCCCCTGGCTCGCTATCGAACTCCCTGGTGTTTATTTATTATTATATTAATGGCTTTAGCTTGATGAAGTCCCTAGGAGATAAAGTGATGTTTTCCACTTTGTGACGTGACAGTTCATCAGTGGCTTCTGATGCTGCTGTGACCAGCTTGCCCAGCCTGGACATGGGATGGTTCATGGGGGTGTAGCTGAGTGGGTCTGTGGGGAGGGTGGGTGAGCACTGCCTTTCCGGGAGCTCGTAGCAACACAGAATGACAGAATGATTTGGGCTGGAGGAGGCCCTTAAAGCTCATCCAATTCCACCCCCTGCCCATGGCAAGGGATACGTTTCACTATCCCAGGTTGTTCCAAGCCCCGTCTAACCTGGCCTTTGACACTTCCAGGGATGGGGCAGACACAACTTCTCTGAACAAACCTGTGCCACGGCCTCACCACCCTCACAGTAACATCTGCATGTCCTCACCTGGGTGGCTGAGGAGAGCGCCCACTGAGGACAGCTCCCCACTGTCCCTGCTCCCATGTGTCCCTGGGTCCTCTGGTCCCCAGAACAGGGATGATTTATTGTCAGACCTGTTCACTGGTGTACACATGAGAAAAATGGACCATCCTTGCTTCTCTCACCTATTCGTGAAGAGTCACTCTACACTCAAAACCTTATGTGGAAATAATTTTGATATTTCTGGGTCCCTATTAATTAGTCTCCATCTAATGAAACAGCTTTATGCACCATGCAGTGTTGGCTTTCTCTTTCAGTTAACATTACCTACAAACAATTAAAGGAGTTTTTGAAGTCTGTCTGAGCCTCAGAGACCTTGGCATGCCTCATATGGAGCTGCCTGAAGCTGTTTTCCACTAAACAGGACAAGAACTGTACCTGAGAGGTTGTTTAGCACGCCAATGACTCATGTCTGCTTTCAAGAATATATACTTCATAAATGCAAAGTGCCCAATACAGAAAGAACAGAGGAATAATGGGGTCAGATAATCAAGCCAAGCTTGATGTTAAATGTTTTATCTTCCAAGTCAAGCCAACAAAAAATATCTGTTTTGATGTCTGTTTCCAAGTTCAGGGAAGGAAGGAGTGATAGAACAGTGAACAGCAGCAAAACCTCTGGCTTCATTTTAACAAGGGTTTTGGGTTGTTCCTGCAGTTGAAGTGAAAATTGAAGTTGTTATACCTGAGAAGGAGAGAAGCAAGGAGGAGATGTCACCCAATGGGAAAGCCAGCCCTCTGATATACAAAGTCAATGGGACTGCTCGCCACTACCACCTCGAGGAGCATCCAATTGCCAGCAACCCCTACCACAACCCAAAGGATGTGGTAGAAGCATCTGTGTGCCATGTGAAGGACCTGGAGAATGGACAGTAAGTACCCAAAGTTTTTGCAGATAAAACTTGAGAGACCTTCTAACCTAACCTCTCTCATACTTTAAAGTTGTTGGAGATGATAATTTAACTTCGTAAGCTTTTTTATAGCTTCAAAAATTACATCATGGACAAGTGACAACTGTTTTTACCACGTCCATGCATGATCTGGACTGAGAATTGTCTCAGAAAGAGGTGATGTTCTGTAGCGGAGTTTCTCAGGAGGCTTTGCTCAACTTCTGCTAACCAACCTAGACTTTTTTTAATAAATTTATAGCTTTAGTGATTTTACAAAACAACAGGAGAAGCGTATGGGTAGGACTGATGGGGAGGTCATGTGCTCCATCCAGCAGCTTTTCAAATCTTTTGCAAATGACAACACATTTCAGCTGGGCACATTCAATTCCTGATTTAATTTTCTGAAGTCTAAAGAGTGCCTGTCCCAGTCACTGTACTTTACAGGTGCCTCTTTTCTGGGGTTGAAGTTCAGGTTCCATTGATATCTCAGAGGGCTCCATCTGTATGTAAAAGAAAACAGCTTTTGTTTCAGTGAGGGAGCAACAAAAGATGTGTGGGAACAGCAGGAGTCTGGCAGCTGTTTGCTTTAAATTGAAGTATTGCCTGTGATAGTATCCAAGAGCAATCCATGTACTATGGACTACTTTGTGCTAAACTTAAGGGGTTTCATGGGCCATAAATTAATTTTCTTATGTAAGTTCATCCAGGAATAAACGCTTTTGTTTTTTGGTTTTTTTCATTGCAATGGGAACTTATGTATTATACCATTCTACAAACGACTGAACTCTGTTGAATTAAATCTTCACATGATGTGGAGCAGTTGAGGTTGCTTGGCTTGTATCCTGGTTCCAACCAGGACAAGGTTAATTTTTGCAGTAGCCAGGAGGTGCATGGCCAGAACCCAGAGGTTATTCTGTACAGCCTCCTCTCATTGCTAGGGCAGGGGAAGGGAGTCTCCTGTGGGGAGAAGTGGTTCCTTCTGGTTGAGTAACTCTGGGGGACAGAGCATGGTGCACAGGAAGATGGGGTCATGCTGCTTCGAAGCCACAGGGAGTGGGGTAGTGAGCTCTGAGCTCTGGGTGAGCATTTTGGCATGTGAATCACTCTCTCTTTTGTACACTTGTGTTATTAATATTCTTGCTGTTATTGTTGGTTTTCTTCTCTCATTGCTGTTTCTAGTAAATTGTTATCTCAGCCTGTCCTCTTTGCCTTTTCTTACTCCAATTGTCCTCCAGCCACCCACAAATGGAGAGGGAGAGTGAGCATCAGCATGGTTTTAGTGGGAGCACTAAACTGGGGAATTCCATTCCTAAACCACAGCGGCCTTATTTAACACTGAACATGGGGTGGGAAGGGTTGAGATATCAACAGATCTGCCCAGAGAGGGTTGGAAACAAAATTTGATCTAGGCATTTGTTGTAATAGGTAAGAGCAACTGGCCACAATGTTGCTTGGTCTGCTCATGTGGGCATAGTACCTCACCCTGTCTGTATTTTCATATGTGCTCTCTGTGCTCATCCTAGTGCTCCTTTTGAGAGCAGGGAAGGGGTCAGGATCACTCTGTTGGTGCAGTGGGATATTGGTTTATGACATGATAACACTGAGGACAATGAGGGCCATTTGGGATGTGTATTCAGTGTTGATCTCCTGCCTTTTCCTTGGATGCTGCCTCTGACAGTCAATTAATAATCGTACCCAGTCTGTGGGGAGAACAGGGGAGGAAGATTTTTTGCAGGTTTTGCCATCTTTTCCTCCTTCAAGCCTGTGACAACAGCTTTTGAGGATTTTGAATTTCCCTTGGATGTTAAGGAAAGCATGTTTTTGTTGCTAACTCCTGTCGATCTCCTCAGTGCAGTCCACACTATGTTTAGAGTTACAAAAGAGATTTTTAGGAAGGTCATTTAGAGATCTGCCCCAGGGATAGATAGTCATGAGTGGCATGTAATGTGGCAGAAACAGGACTGTTCTGCTCCAGTGGTTGGGAAGTTTACCCCTGAACAGCTACAGGATCTTGATAAAGTGGGAGAATATTTGAAAGAAAAATGCTGTGGCAGTTCCAGAGAGGTGCAATGTTATGCAGTGTGTTGGGCCCTGGCTACTCTTTATTAGACAGTGCTCCATTCTAGACAGCACTCTCAGGGAGAGGAGGAGGAAGGCAGAGCAACAGGCACCGTGGGTGCTCCAACTGCAGCTGAATCAGAGCAACAGCCCACACTGGGAGCACTTGCCCCTTTATGGAAGAAGACATCCAAGGCAAAATCCGTTTGCTTAGTGAGGGATGAAGAGGACCCAGGACCCTCAGAACAGCAGGAAGAGGCAGGGCCAGAGACAATCACCCAGTCCCTATCCCCGTGTGGGTTGTGGGATATCCGCAAAGACTTCAACTGCCGGTCAGGAGAGCCCCTGGCAACCTGGCTGCTCCAGTGCTGGGTTATTGAGGCCCACAGTATGGAGCTAGGTGGTAGTGAAAACCAAGGAACTGGGATCCCTGTCCTGGGATGTGGGCACTGACAAGGTGTTGGGGGTTAGGACTGAGAGAGCTGGGCTAGTAAAAGACTGGGCTGAGGCAGCTGCTGGCTCTATCTCCCTCAGGGGAGGGAATTCGCTGCTGCCAGTGGAGCCCAACCCAGTCATGCTTCTTCTGCTGTGGGGTTAGCCTTTTGCTCAGGATAGCAGCCACTGAACTGGGACCTTATTAACACCCTACCTGTCTAAAAAAGGGGCTGTCACCACCTGCTTGGGAGCTGCCACAGCCCTCGCCATTCTTTTGCCACTGCTCAGAGTTTTCAGTGCTCTGCAGCCCCGCACCCCCTGCCTGCCGGGACACGCCGCGGTTCCAGCTCCAGCCGCTGGGTTCCATACATCTCATCGACCACCCAGGGATGTTTGTGCTCGTTCCTGCCCTTCAGCTTGCTGCTCCCCACGGTCCTGCTGGGGCACCGGGAGCAGCCGCCCCTTTCTCCATCCCCTCCCCTCTGGGCCCAGCTGCCATCACCGCGTGCTGCCCGAGCCTTGCCCACAGCGCCCCTGCAGGCGTGGAGGAACCATCGCACCCTCCCTGCCCACTGCGAGCCACCAGCGCCCCTGCCGGCTGTGCCTGTAACTGCACCAAGGGGAAAATTCCTGCTGCCGAGAGAAAACTGGGACTGAGTCTGTGGGGCTGTTTGTTGGGAATGCTGCGGTTGTTGTTTGTTGGCCTTGTTATGCACACTAGTAAAGGACTGCTATTCCTTTCCCAATATCTTTGCCTGAAAGCCACTTAATAATTTGGAGGGAAAAGGGTCATATACTCAATTTCAACCGAGGCTCCTGCTTTCCTTTCCTTTCCAGACACCTATCTTTCAAACCAGGACACAAGGGAATTGGGAAAAGGTCAGAACCTCTCATCTCTGGAGGTGGCTCCTTTCAAGTGTGAGGGAAAGGTGTTCTCTCAAAGATGTCAGATTCCAATGGATGTGATCAAAAACCCACCAGCTTTGTCCCCACCAGCCATGGGGGGTGTCTTGAAGACCCAAGGGGGGTCTTGAAGAGCAAGAAGCTTTGAAACAAATTAAACAGGTGATTCTTGATGCAGTAGTCCTTGGGCCAGTCAGGACAGGACAGGGTGAGAAAAAAGTGCTCTACACCACAGCCAGGAAGAATGGTCCTTCTTGGAGTCTCTGGGATTCTGGAGTCAGGTATACAGAGGATCTGAGGCCTGTTATACCCCAAATGAAAAAGAGATACTGGCAATTTGTTAATAGGTTTGATCTGCTTCAGAACTGATTAGCACAGAAGCACAGCTCCTTCTGGCACCCCAACTATCAGTGCTGGGCTGGGTGTTCAAAGAGAAAGTCTCTGCTGTATGTCAATGCCACTGATGTTTCCTGGAGTAAGTGGATTGGTCTGATCACACAGCAGGCTCAGATAGGAAACCCCAATCACCCTGGGATCTTGGAAACCATCACAAACTGTCGCAGCTTTGGAGACAGGAAAGCGACAAGAACAGAAACCAAGATCATGCAGCAGCAGCCGAGGTTTAGTGATGTGCACCCCTTTTATAGGGACTTCAAATTTCCCGTACAACCATGATTGGTTAAGGGTCTTAGCTCCGCCCAGCTCACTGGCCAATGATATGGTTCAATGGTTCGTGGCTCAAAGGGATTGGCTGGGGTCTCCTTATTTGAGCTTGAGTTCAGCCAATCACTTTGATACCTGGGACTTGTTTACTTCTATTACCTAACAGCTGGGTTGGTCCAGTCAGTGCCTGTTAGGCCAGACTACCTGTGCAGCTACAGACCAGCTGGAGCTGTCACAACAAACTGGCCCTAAGGTGAACATTTCAGACTGTCATCAGAAGATGAGGAGGAAGTGGAGGATAAGGTGACATGTGCTGAGGAGGCCCCACCCATGTAATCAGCTACCTGAAGATGAAAAGTGATGTGTTCATTTCACTGGCAGTTCCTGCCTTATTGCAGGGATGCATTGAACATGGAAGGTGCCATGTGGGGCCCTACACGGCAAGTGGCAGAAAGTATTGAGAGACAAGGTGGATCAAATCAGGTTGCAGAGCTGAAAGCCTTCCAGCTGGCTTTAGATATTGCTGCATGAGAGAAATTGCCAACACTCTGCAATGACTCATGGATGGTAGCAAATGCTCTGTAGGGATGGCTGGAACAATGGAAAAAGACCAGCTAGCAGCACAGAGAGAAACCCATCTGGGCTGCTGAATTGTGGCAAGACATTGCTGCCTGGGCACAGTTGGCTGTCTATCATATGGATGTACATGTCCATAAGAGTCAGGCATTGAAGAGCATCACCATAATGGACAGGTGGATTGGGCTGCTGAGATTAAAGTGTCTCAGGCAGGTCTGGGCTAGCATGATAAGGATGAATTATTTCTGGCTCAGTGGGCCCATAATACCTCAGGCCATCAAGGAAGAGATGCAACATGGCCTTGTGATTAAGGGATGGACTTAACTATGGACACTATATCCTGGGTAATCTGTGATTGTGAAAAGTGATCAAGAAGGTCAAGTGGGTAAAACTCCTGTGGTCTGGGGGGTGGTGGTCAATGCAAGTATGGAGAGGCCTGGCAGATGGATTGCATCATACTGCTGCAAACCTGTTGCCAAGGCAAGCATTAGTTGCTGACAGTGGTAGAAGGCATGACTGGATAGCTGGAGACATACCCCATGCTTTACACCACTGCCTGTAGTGCCATTTTGACCCTTGGAAAACAAATCCTGTTGGCAACACAGCAGCACTGAAATAATTGAGTCAGACAATGGGACTAATTTCAAAAGTATCCTTAGGAATGCCTGGGCTCTGTTAAAGGTTCAGAGGAACTGGGCTTATAAACACTGAACAAGCTATTGAGTGGGTGTACCATATTCCCTGTCATGCAACAGCCGTTGGAAAGTGGAATGGTGCAATGCACTGTTAAAAACATTGAAATCAGTGGGTGGTGGAACCTTCAAACACTGGGATCTATATTTAGTGAAGGCCACATTGTCAGTTAACACAAGAAGGTCTGCCAGTCGGGCTGGCCCTGCCCAATCAAAACCTCTATGTACTGTAGAAGGGGATAAAGTCCTTGTGATGCACGTGAAGAATGTGTTAAGGAAGTAAGTTTGGATCTGTTCTACCTCAAGCAAAGACAAACCCATCTGTGGGATTGTTTTTGCTCAAGGATGTGGGTGCCATTGGTGGGTGATGCAGAGTATCCCTCAAGGAGATTTGACATTTGGAGGTGTGGTTGACATGCTGCCACCTGTGCAGGTGAGCAGTGGCAGCAGGGCTAGAGAGGAGCAGGGCAGAGCACAAGCAGCAGCCAGAATTGTCTTGATGGTGGAGTGAAGAAAAAGGGGGACACTGTCTTGGGAAATACTGGTTGCACAAGGAGGGTTCTATTCCAGGATCAAGATCGGCCTCACCTGGTCAATAGAAGGTGTCCCTGCCCATGGCAGGGGGTAGAATGAGAGGGTCATTAAGGTCCTTTTCCATACAAACCACCCTGTGATTCTGTGAATAGCTAGATTGACTGGGGAGCAGGGAGTATTATAGATGAAAAGATTTGGAGAGCTCTTCTGGCTGCAGGGAAGCTGAGGAAGAGCTGGCTGCAGCCTGTGAGAACATACTTAGCTGCAGGTGGCCATAGCAGGGGGCTTCTCAGCTGAAGCCAGGGCTAGGAACTGGCATTGGTCTGGGATCTGGTCCCATGCACATCAACTTCTGCAACGTGCTACGAATGCGACAGCAGAGATGGTAACACCAGACAATTTAGATTGAGAATAGCTGTTTTCTAGCAGGCTGAGTCCAGGTCAAGATAGGAGTGCTGTGAGAGGGTCCCATAACTCATGTGAGCAATAGGCCAAGCCAAAGGAGTCCCCTTGTGCTGGCACCCAGAGGGATTTTCAAGGATGATTCTCCCAAGGAGTGTGCTGGGCAGGGGTGTGCATGGGCATCGCAGCAGCGCAGGGTGCTGGCAGGAGGCTTCGGGCACTGCTGCCTTGCATTAGTGGAGTCTGCCAGCAGAGAGTATGCTTTCTACCCAACCTTTATGTTTTTCTGCTGCCAGCACAGCCTCAGCAGAACTGAGATGCAGAAAGATACAGAAGGATAAACTGGTGCTGCTGTACCCAGCCAGCCTCCCAGCAGGCTAACTAGAAGGGCAGAACACAGCCCCCCAGTGCTCTCACAGCTCTTGAGCAAAGGTCCTTTGCAGGCCAGAGCTGAGATTTAGCTGTGCTTCCCAAGTGGGGAGTGGGGTAGGACAACAGGACAAATTCCCAACTGAATAAACAGCTCAGCAGGGTGCAGGGCAGTGTAAATCATTCTCTGGATTACTCTGGAGTGGGTGCAGGGTGGGAGCCTTGCAGGTAGCTATGTGCTGGCTTGAAGAGACCAGGTCTTGTTTTTGATTCTCTCAGCTCACACATCTTCTTGGGTAAGCTGTAAATTCTTTAACTTATCTTATCATATCTTCCTAGGGAGCTATGGCTGCCATTGAGCAGGTTTTATCAGCTGAGGAATGCAGCAGGACTTGTACTGCTCTGTTCCCCTTGTGCAGAGGGAAGAGCTCCAAGTGCTGAGTGTCCTGCTTGGGGAGGGAGCAGAGCTGCATCTCTGAGAAGCAAGGTGGCCAAATTAATGGGGCAAAGGGCAGGTGTGGTGAACTCTGCTGGTTTTCACCCAAGGTGGCAAGGAAATTGAGCATTTGTCATTGAACAGTTGGTGCAGGTGAAGCACTTGCCCAAAGGCTGGCTTGAGGTGGGTTTGAGAGTGGAACAGAAGTGTTGGTGGGCTGAGCCCTGTTCTCATCTCCATGGCTTCAAAGCAGAGTGGGGCAAATAACAGGATTGAGTTGGGATGTTATCTGAGAAGGAATGAGCATGCAAAGTCTGTCCCATTCTTCTGAGACCCTGGAACCTGGTGTGCATGAATGGCATTCTGGAATCGCACATGGCCAGTGACTTCTTTGAGTGAGTGGGCTTTACTATGGCCACAGTGATGTGTTTGGCACCCCAAAGGCAATGTGCTGGGATAACTGTAGAGATGGTCCTCTCCATGCAGTGGGAGCAACCACGATTTCCGGGGAAACATCAAGCTATGTAGGGATAGGCTTTCTGGCTGGAAGAAGGGAAGTCTCCAGGGAAAAGCACCTCTGTGTTCCCTGTCCAGCTCTGTGCAAAGCAAGGGCTCTCTCCTCAACTCTTACTTTCCTCCATGGTTAACTGGAAAACTCTGCTCTGAGGAAGCAGCTGCTGATAGTTGCATTGGAAAGAGGTTCAGTGCCTCAGGCAGACCATGGATTGCACAGAATGTATTGGGACTATTGGTTGGAAAGGGAGCATCTGAGAGGTGAGAAAAGACAGGATGTGCTGAGAGGAAGGTCTGGCAGACCTGGTGGAAGCACAGTGAGAGGGCAGAGTGTAAACGTCTGCTCAGTGCAGAACAACATCAGTGTCACTCAGCAATGCTTGGGTACTGCTCTGCAAGGCTGTGGAAATATCTTTGGCCAAGGTCTGGGCAGGTGGAGGAGCGGAGGCCTCAGTGCTGGAGCCTTCTGTACCTCAGTTTCCAGCCTGCAGAGAGGATCAATGAGCAGCCTCCTGGGAATGATGGATAGCACGTGTTGAAGTTGCAATGATTTATTATCATAAATGATTAGACAAAAAGATCTTACTCAGAATTATTTACTATACAGGATAAAAGCTAAAACTAATAGTAGAGCAGAGTAGAATTTAGTATATCAAAGTAATTGTATTAAAGCTGGAGAAACCCCACGATTATGACATAGAGATTGATGTCATTCACCCAGACCAGGGAACATGGGCAAATCTCCTTCACTCTGTCTTGAGGAGTGACCTTGAAGGGTGTTCCCACCCCAGGGAGGAATCTCCACACACCCTCCAAGAAAGGATATGTTAGAAGAACCTACTATTTGTAAGGGACAGGACTTTGAGAGTGAAGAGTGATTGTCAGTCAGGTATCTGCAGGCGGGCTGTGCCAGCTTAGCATTATTAGATAAGGATAATTTACCATATCTGCCCTGTCTTCCTCTTGCTATCAGATTGTTTAACTTTGGGGTTGACGAGTCAGACTGGATTTAGCATAATTCAAGACTAGAAGCAGTGTTATGCCCCGTCCCAGTTCACCACTGACAGCTTTGCAATACTGGGTACTGTTCGAGTTGTCTTACCCCATTCCAGGCAGAGCATCCTGCTAAAATGCCACTCTGGTAGTAAAAACTTCTTTCTTATACGTAATCTAAACTGATCCTCTTTTAGTTTAAGTCCATTCCTCCTTCTTCTGTGAGCAACTGGGAGATTTCAAAGAGAACCCGAACCCCTCTATAGGAATGGCTTGAAGTTTGCTGGCTCCTCTGCAGAGCAGAGCTGAACCCAGCAGAGCTGGGCCAGGAACCTGATGCCAGCAGGAGGTCACTGTGTGAACTCCACTCTGCAAAAGCAGTTGAGGAAAAAATCAAGGTCACACACAGGTGTCTGCTGTCCTGAGGGATTTATCAGGAAAAGTGACCTGGGACATGGCCAGGATCAGAGCAAAAACCCCTGAGGTGTGGGAGGCAGACCCCAAGGTTCAGAATCACCTCTCCTGGTTTTCAGCTCTGGAAGATGTTGTGTTTGGTTTGAAAAAATGAACACAAGCCTGACAGAGGCCTGCTGAGCTGCTGGGCCCAGGAGGGGAAACTAATGTCACAGTAAAACCAGTTTAGCTTCTTGCTCCCATTACCAGCTCCCTCAGCAGCTGGGAAGGTGCTTTGAGCCTCCTCTTGGCACAGTGATGGATAAATTAGATGCTGCCACTCAGTAGCCCAGCTTGGACGTGACCCAGGCTGGGACAGCAGAGCCACCTCCAAAGTTGGCTTGGTGACAAGGAATGACCTACATCTGTAGTCACCTGCAGCCAGTGGTGAGCAAGTTGAAGGAGGAGTGGAGCCTGGTGGGACTAGGGTTGAATTGTAGGGTGGAATGGTGGCATCTGCTGTGAGGTGAATGCTCTGCCATCTCTTTCCATATTCCTCCTCCCTAGGATGCGGGAAGTGGACCTGGGCTGCGGGAAGGCTCTGCTCATCAAGGAGAGTGGCGAGTTCCACGCCGTGGGACATAAGTGTCCCCACTATGGGGCTCCACTGGTCAAAGGTCAGTCTGCATCATGTCCTGGAGAGCAACCAAGGGCATCACAGGGCAAAGGACAGGCCCCTTACTGTGCTGCCAAACATGCAGCAGTGCTGCACTGCACACAGCATCTCCTGGGCATCTTCTGGCTGGGGAAGGCAGCAAGCTGGAGTTGCACAGAACTCCCCAGAGCACTTTGCCAGCTCTGGTCTGCCACTGCTGATCACAAGTCTGGGGCTTCTCGTTGAGGGGCAAGAGGACTGTCTTTGGGCTGAAGGGATCCTTTTAGTAGCAAAAAGAATGTTGCTCATGTTATTGACTGAAGTGGGGTGAGGTGGATTGTTTTCCCATCTTGGCACCTAAAATTATTCATCCTGGCACTTTCTCAGCACAGGCTTCAGGCAGGTCTCTGTCCCGAGCCTAAGCAATGGTAGCAGGCTGATGATGTGCATCACCAAAACTGGGGTTGGGAGGGCAATTTGCTGGAGGTGGGATCCTGGGGAAGACAGGAGCGCATCCTTCTGAGTGTCATCTGGGCATTGCTGGCCCAGCAGTCATGCTGGGTATAGCAGCCATGCTCTCAGCCCCTCCCCTGGGGTGAGCAGCTTGCTGAGCAGGGCAGAGGAGCCCCACAGTGCCCTGGAGATGAGAGCTCACTGCCCTTTCAGAGACCCATGGTGTTCCTCAGACTGGCTGTCACATAAGGATCTCTCTAGAGACTTTGCTGCAGCCATAGGTGCAGGAGGGCTGCCCCTGCACCCCACACGTGGTGGTGATGAGATGTGGCACTGCTGTGCCTCAACAAGCAGAAACACAAGCTCAAGACCAGTCTATGGCCACATGGTGGCCTATGCTCTGCCCCAATGTAGCAGGGAAAGCTGAAGTCCAAGGTAGTAGCCTCTGAGCCAGCATCTAGAGAAATGGACACATGGCTTTGGGCACATGTCTGTGCCTCCCAGGCATGTGCAGGTGCCTTGCTGTGCCAGGGTCTGCTCTGGAACACATGTACTCTAAATCAATGATGCTCTGCTTGAGGCACCACTTGTTTTGGGTAAGGATGACCATGAGACTCTGGGGCTGGCAGCTCCATCCTGGCTGGAGAGTAAGGTTATATCCCAGAGCAGACAGCTTTGGAACTGTGCCCAGAGGTGCTGGAGGACCCTGCCATCCAGGGCATTTTGTAAGGAATTGCTCATGTAGGATCCCAGCTGGTCCCAAACATGCCCAGTGTGCATGTTGAGAAAACTCCACCATTGCCTGTCCAGGAGCACCTCAGCTGCCATGTATCCTGTAAGAGAAGTGCCATCTCACAGGATGGGAGGCAGCTTCAGGGCAGCACCAACCCTGCTCTGCCATGTTCCCTGCAGGGGTTTTGTCCAAAGGAAGAGTCCGCTGTCCCTGGCATGGAGCTTGCTTCAATATCGGCACAGGTGACATTGAGGACTTTCCCGGCTTGGATAGTTTACCCAGGTTCCAGGTGAGATCCTTGTCCCTGCAGCAGAGGAAACCGCAGAATCATGGGATGATTTGGGTTGGAAGGGACCTTAAAGCTCACCTCATTCCACCCACTGCCAGAGGGCAGGGACACCTCCCACCATCCCAGGCTGCTCCAAGCCCTGTCCAACCTGGCCTGGAACACTTTCAGAGATCCAGGGATAGCCACAGCTTCTCTAGGCTACCTGTGCCAGGGCTTCCCCAACCTCACAGGGAATAATTCCTTCCCAATATCCCACCTAACCCTGCCCTCTGGCAGTGGGAAGCCATTCTCCCTTGTCCTGTCACTGCAGGCCCTTGTCCAAAGTTCTCCTGCTCTCTTGGAGCCCCTTAAGGCACTGGCTCTGAGGTCTCCCTAGAGCCTTCTCTTCTGGTTGAACAATCCCAGTCTTCCTCAGGGCTGCTCTTGATTCCTTCATCCCCCAGCCTGGACTGATGAAGTGAATTGTGCACATCCAGGTGCAACAGCTTGAATTTTCCCTTATTGAACCTCGTGAGATTCCCATTTGGCCACTTCTCCAGCCTGGCAACATTCCTCTATATGGATCCCTTTCCTCTAGACCATCAAGCACACCACTCAGTTTGGTGTCACCCACAAAATGAATCTTTTTATTGGGATAAGCAACATTCTGTATGGCATGGAGCAAATACTTTCCAAAGATATGCTGGTGTAGCCAGCAGAGAGGAGCTCCTCATCCAGCTCCTTCCTCCCTGCAGCTCCCTTGTACCCACCCACAGGCACCAGACATCTCCTGGGAACCTGGGAGTGCCCATTCTGGGCGGTATCTGGAGTAGGAGTGGGGCGGGAATGAGAAACCATGTATAAACTTGGGGTAGAAATCATCTTGTACACTGAGTGTCGGTGTGTGGTTGATACGAGACAGAAGATCCCAGAGCTTTGAGCTGGGATGAGCCCTGCCATGGCCTGAACTGCTCCTCAGGTTACCCAGTGCCACCACTCCTCATTCCTTAGCTGTTGCCCAGAGGGAGCCTTTGCTGTTCTGCAAACCAGCACTGTTCTGTCACCCTCAGGTGAAGATTGAGAAGGAGAAGGTATACATCCGAGCAAGCAAGCAGGTGAGGGGCCACTGACACCCAGAAATCAAGGCAAATGCTTTCATTTTTTGCTGTATGTGCATGGGGGTGGATGGAAATGCTTATCTTTGATCCTCGGGCCTGGGCAGAGGGATGTGTGAGTATCCAGTTTATATGGAGGTACAAGTCGAGAAGGGCAGAGCTGTTGGGTCCCCTTCCTATGTAGCCTCCCTGCAGCTGCTGGACACCTGGCCTGGGCTGCCCATTCCTTCAGGCCTTACAGCCGTTTGTCCTGCACTTGTCCTGTGTTTCCTTAAGCTCAGAGCAACTTTTAATTTAGCTGGCCCATGGAAAGAGGCCTCTTCTGCCAGTCTTTTGGCCTTGTCTGGATATGGCATGGTGATGATAGAGGCCGCTCTTGCTCCCTCTTCACACCTCAGCTCCTGCTGGAGAGGAACCTGATGCAGGGATAGAAAGGGCTCTCCTGCCCTGATGGGATGCAGAATGAAGCCCACTGTCATCTTTCTTTCCATAAAAAGCTTTCTTTTGATGCATGGTTGTATGTACACATGTGCAAATCCAGTGGCTCAGAGCCCCAGTTGGCCCTTAGAATGCTTGGGTTAGATCAAGAGATGCCACCTGAAAGGCAGCACTTCAACTCCAGCTGATTTGGGGATGTGATGAGGGGAAACTGAGTCTATGTGCTCTACCAGGAACAGATTTTGGCCTCTACTACACTGGCACAGGCCTATGCCTGTGCTCTGGTGGTTTGGACAAGTCTTTGGATATTAGGTGTACAAGCTCTGCTCAGGTTCAGGATAAAATTCCTGACAGAGCTTCTTCATTCTTGTCTCACCTGTAGTGCAGAATTGTACAAGGACACACCTGCTTTTTCTCTTGCCCCAGCACCACCCCAGCTCTGAGTAGCTGCATGGCTTTGCAGAAGGTGATGGATTTATTTGTCTTTTCTACCTTTTAAGGGGTAGTGCACTGGACATTGGAATGGTATTTGGATGAGCAGAGGTTTGGAGTCCTTGTTCAGTACAAGGGTGTGGTTGTTCCCTTCCTATCCAAGCTGGTTTATGACACTGTTGCATTTGTCCCCATCCCTGCCTGTCTGCCCAGGGTAATGCTGAGTAAAGATAATTGGTTTTTTTTCTCTTTTTGGTGGTGATACAGGCTCTTCAGACACAGAGGAGGACGAAGGTGATGGCAAAGTGCATCTCCTTGAGCAACTACAACTTGAGCAGCACCAATGTGCTGATCATTGGTGCAGGTAAGGGTGGCACATAGTGGGATCACTGTGTGTGACCCCTCCCAGGCAGGGATGCAGGGAGGGGGTGTCTGTCTGCGCTGTACCCTCTGTCACGCCTCCCGCATTCCTCCCTGTGCAAAGGGTCACACCAGAGAGCCTTCCTGAACATTTTGACCTACGTGCCAATAATCTGAAGATGCCCTGTGTTCTAATCAGGGTGTGGAGCTTTGTAGTTCCCTGTTGCCATGCTTTGGAGTGAACCCCGAATCCTCTTCCTGCTACTTCCTTACCAGTTACATCAGCAACCCCTGATTTCCACAGATGATTAGTATCCCTC